TCTAAGTCTAAGGCTATGAGAAAATTAAAAGGTAAAGTAGCCAAGCCTTTTGTAATGCAGATTGTTATTGTAGTGTTGTATATTCCATGGATAACCATGTCTTCTCTCCTTGTATTAGATGCCACATAGATAAAAGACTAGTACAGCTCTACGTCTGTGAAATCAAGTTTTTAATTTTTATGTCTTCACCAAGTATTGCCTTTGATTGGATAAGAAGAAATCAATCCATGATAAATAAAATTTATAAATATTTTCTCAGAACCTAAAATACAAACTCCTTAAGGAGAAGAAATAAGTTTTCCATTTTTGTGTCACTGTACCTGGCATATGAACTGCTTGAAGGGGTGGAGTGGTGAATAAATGAATTAATGAATGAAGCATAGGCATTGAAATAAGCTTTATTTGAAGTTAATCTGAAAAACTATAGAGCAGAGTTATAAATCAGGATGAGGGTATTACAGTGAATATAGCATGTAAATATCCATTTCAGACACTGTATTATATACAATAATTGTGCAAGCACAAAAACTTACACATGAATAAAATGATGTGGTAAATAGAATATATGGTGGGCCTCCCCAGGTTCTGAACTAGAAGTTAGAAAATATTGAGAGTATATCAAATAATTTCCAGTATTCACCAGTAGAAAAAAAAACAGATATTAAATATTTTGAGATATTTCAAATTAATTTTTCTATAACCAGATTTCTTTTAATAAAAAAGGTTCTAATGAAAATAGGCTCTCAACCTCCTTCTCTCCTTTCACCCTTAGTCTAGAAAAAATAATTTTGTACCTAAGAGTGAGTGTAGTGGTAGTGGGCGTGGTGAAAAATGAGCAATGAGTTTTATGGAAAATTGTTAGAAGATATATAGAGTTTGCCATTTTGTCTCAATCACAACACTAAGAAAGAGATACTAAGTTCATTGAGTGAATTATTTAATCCAGAAATTAAGAAAACAATTTTAGATTTTGAGCATTTCACTTTCTGGTTAGAATTCTTCATTTGGAACAGATAGTCTTCTTTTATTCCACAGAACGGATTTATGGTATCTAGCTCAGAGTATTCTCTTCAGGTTAATAATTTCACTTTCCATGAATGGGAGTTTTCACTAATTACACTGTAAATTGTCTTCAGGGGCTAATCTGTAATTTTTCATGTAGTGTCTAGGATGAAGGGACAGAGGGAACAATGCCTTAAAAGAAATTAAGTCTTTGTCAAATAATGACTACCAAAATTATAACTAAGGAATTAACATATTTATTTATTCTAGATATGATGGCTTTTGGAAACAAACAAAAAAATATGATAGAGGGTATAACACGTGGACTTCACCAGATGGAACACACAGGAATCAGATTGACTACATCTGTGGCAAGAGGCGGTGGAAAAGCTCAATATCTTCAGCCAAAACC